CCTGCTCTCTGCCACCTGCTGCCTCAGTGGGGAAACGGGCCAGGCACAGTCGTAAGTGTGTGAGCCTGGCTGTGTTCCTATAAAACTTTATTTACAAACAGGCAACTCCACAGTGACAGGAAGTAGACTGGTGGACGCAGGGGCTGGGGAAGGGAGGCCCAGGGAGCCAGTGCTCCCTGGGGATGGATGGGATTCAGGAGCTAGCCCAGGGGTGGGCAAACTTTTTGACTCGAGGGCCACAATGGGTTCTTAAACTGGACCGGAGGGCCGGAACAAAAGCATGGATGGAGTGTTTGTGTGAACTAATATAAATTCAAAGTAAACATCATTACATAAAAGGGTACGGTCTTTTTTTTTTTTAGTTTTATTCATTTCAAACGGGCCGGATCCGGCCCGTGGGGCTGTAGTTTGCCCACGGCTGAGCTAGACAGTCTGACGGTTTGCACAGCATGGTGGCTGTGCTAAATGCCGCTCGATTGGGCATTTCCAAATAGCACCATCAGTGCATTTGATGTTCATCTTTATTTTACCGCCACAAAAAAAAAAAAAAAACACTTAAAAAATCCGGTGGCCTGTACCCCCCGGCTGTCGTCTGTCAGCAGACGCAGGCAGGTCTCCAGAAAAAGCAAACTTGAGGAGGATGAGTAGGAACATGCGAAAGAACGCAGTCCTCCTGCGGCCCCTGCCCTCCCCGGAGCCTGGCACATCCAGCTGTCCCGGGATTGGGTGGAGGTGATTCCCTTTAAGGAAGTGGCCGCGGGTGAGGGAGAGGGAGAGGGCGGGCCCCTGAGACACCAGCACACTCCAGGCCTCTCTGGAGATGGGCCCTGACCAGGCAGACATTCCTGGCATAGCAGCCCCTGTCCTTGGCCAGCTGGGCGGCCCAAGGTGTTCCGTTGGCGTTAGGCCCAGGTGCCACCAGGGGGCGCCAGCGGGGAGCCCGGGCTTGGGTGGTTTGGCCCTCAGCCAGGGGTGGAGGGGATCGAGTGTCTGGGACCCGTGTGGACAGGGCACGGCGTTGCAGTCTGTGTAGTACGGATACGCAGCATACACGTTCCCGAAAGCTAATCCGTGGTGGCGGCTCCCTCGGGGCCGCAGGGAGTGGGATGGGGCTTCTGTCGTCCGTCGTTTTAATTTTAAGCCGAGTGGTGATATGTGGGGGTCCTTTGCCGCTGCTGTCTACTGGGAAACCAATGTGAGCCACGGAGTCATTGCACATCTCCAGGAAGGTGCATTTTTAAACAAGTAAGAAGAGCCCCGGCTGGTGTGGCTCTGTTGGTTGGGCTTCGTTCCACACACCGAAAGGTCACTGGTTCAGTTCCCGTCGGGACACGTTGCCTGGGTTGTGGGCTGGATCCCCGACAGGAGGAATGCAGGAGGCAGCCAATCAATGTTTCTCTCTCGTTGATGTTTCTGTCTCCCTCTCCCTTCCTCTCTCTCTAAAAATCAACAAAAACATTTAAAAGTAAAAAAGTAAGGTGAAATTAAGTTTAGTAATATTTTTCTAAAAATATATTTTTATTTATTTCAGAGAGGAAGAGACAGGGAAATAGAGAGACAGAAACAAAAGTGGTGAGAGAATTATGGATCTGCTGCCTTCTGCACGCCCCCCAATGGGGACCAAGCCCGCAAGCCTGCAACCCGGGCATGTGCCCTGACTGGGAATCGAACCATGACCTTCTGGTTCATAGGTCGACACTCAACCACGGAGCCACGCCAGTTGGGCAGTAATATATTTTTTAATCCAATATGTCCAAAATGTAATTTCAACGTGTAATCAATATAGGAACTATTTATGGCTCTAACCGGTTTGGCTCAGTGGATAGAGCGTCGGCCTGCGGACTGAAAGGTCCCAGGTTCGATTCCGGTCAAGGGCATGTACCTTGGTTGCAGGCACATCCCCAGTAGGGAGTGTGCAGGAGGCAGCTGATCGATGTTTCTCTCTCATCGATGTTTCTAACTATCCCTCTCCCTTCCTCTCTGTAAAAAATCAATAAAATATATTTTTTAAAAAAACTATGAGTTACTACCCATTTTTTGAGTTACTTCAGAATTCAGCGTGTGTTTTTCATTTACGCTGCATCTGAGGCTGGCTCCATTATTTATTTATTTTTTTATTGATTTTAGAGAGAGGAAGGGAGAGAGAGAAACATCAATCAGTTTTCTCCTCCATGTGGCCCGACCGGTGATCAAACCCGTGACCTGGAATGTGCCCTGACCAGGAATTGAACCTGCCACCTTTTGGTGTACAGGATGAAGTCACACCTTGCCTTTTGCCCCCATAAATGCAGCACAGCTTCCCATGAAGCTGAGATTGGATGCAATGACATCGACTAGCGAGGAGACCAGATGGCTCTAGGTCAGCGGTTCTCAACCTGTGGGTCGCGACCCCTTTGGCGGTCGAACGACCCTTTCACAGGGGTCGCCTAAGACCATCCTGCATATCAGATATTTACATGAGGATTCATAACAGAAGCAACATGACAGTTTTGAAGTAGCAACGAAAATAATTCTATGGTTGGGTCACAACATGAGGAACTGTATTTAAAGGGCCAGAAGGTTGAGAACCACTGCTCTAGGTGATAAAACAGCTGGGAACAGGGATCAGCGCTGAGAAGGAAAGAAGCTATTGCCCCCATCCCCGCCGTACAGACACTGTGTTGAGGGGCTTCTTGCTTGGTCTGTCCTAACGAGTTATCAGACTGATAATGGTGACAGAATGCCTGAAGGTGGAGGGCTGAGGATCGTATCAGTAGTGACAGGAAGAGTTAAACACAGTCAAACACTGTATTTGCTCAGTAAATTTTAGGTGTTAACCTTAAAAAGAATGGTCAAGCCCTAACCGGTTTGGCTCAGTGGATGGAGCGTCAGCCTGCGGACTTTAGAGTCCCGGGTTCGATTCCGGTCAAGGGCATGTACCTTGGTTGCGGGCACATCCCCAGTAGGAGGTGTGCAGGAGGCAACTGGTGGATGTTTCTAACTCTTTATCCCTCTCCCTTCCTCTCTGTAAAAAAAAAAAAAAATGAATGATCAAGGGGATGCTTGGGTTGAAGTGAGAAAATGCTTGCGATTTCCATTCTCCCAGACGCCCCCCCCCCCCCCCCCTCCCGAGGGATTAAAAGAACCTTAATGTTGCCCTGGGCTGCAAGAACTGATGGAAAGGGGTTGAACTGGCCCCGGAATTTTAAGCTTCGGGAGCAATCAACGAGAGGGAACGGGCAAGGGCAAGGCACAGGGTGAGCTGCGCTTCCTAAACTTTGGGATGAGTCCCACCTGTCACCCCTTTCTGTCCTCCCAAGTGTGGATGTGGAGGCAGCCCAACGAGCCGAGGGAGAATTGCTACCTCACGACACAAAGTGCTGGGCTGAAACGAAGTGCCATGCCTGAAGCCCCGCACCCCCCACACCGGGGCCTCTTGCTCTGCATGTGGGCGGCTGCTAAAGGGCTACATCCAAAATGGATGAAGTGAGCTTGGGCTGGCAGGGA